TTTTTTTTTAACAGAACAAACCTGTAATGGCATTTGGACTCATAACAATCACACTCTGTGTGGCCTACATTGGTTACTTGCATGCAACACAAGAGAATAAAAAGGACCTCTATGAAGCTATTGACAGTGAAGGAACCAGGTCTATGAGAAGGAAAACTTCCAAGTGGGATTAAAGAACTGATAACTAACATCAAGATACATTTCTTAACAGGACAAACATTAATAAACTGACTGGCAGTAAACTTTCCAAATCTATTGATCTGAATCAATTTTACAAGTCGGTATCCTGAGTGCTTTTTCCCTGTTCAGTTCTTAAAATAATGAATAAATGATTCTTTTGAAATGTAATCCACTTTAAGTTGCATTATAATTATGAAATACCATGTGTATACCTATAAATTGTATATAAGATATGCACAGTATTAAAAGTATTGTTAAGAACCATTGTCTCTGGTGCTTAGAATTTGTGTTAGGAAGAAGCATAATTAACATGTGAAAACTGGTCTTTAAATGCCTTTAAATTTCTGTAATAGCAAAATGAGTTGAACCATAATTTCCTTTGAAAATAATGACAGGCTTTTAATTCAAAGCATACTGTTTGTGGGGAAAAGGTAATAGATATGATCTGCAAAAATTGGCATTTTTAGTATTGCAACTACCTAGTTTTAAACAAGCAAAACATTTGACAAATGTATTTTAAAATATTTGGTAAAATACTGACAAAAATTTCTGCTGACTTACTTCTAGTGGAAAAAAGCTGTGAGAAATACTATAGAAACCAAATACTATAGAAAAAATAATCCATTCAAAGCTAGCTTGAAAAACGTTTATGTTTACATTTTAATGTAAGTCATTGGGATCAAGATGATCTCAGTAAAGGACATTCTCAAATCACAGGATACTTTATTAATATGCAGATAGATTAAATGTTATATACAGAAACTTAAATACATTTTTAAATAACTTCACCAGCAAAGTGATGTTAATATTAAAGATGCAGTCGAGAGTTCAAAATTAGATGTTAGAATTGAGTTTGTGCAATCATAATCTGGACCCAGTTGGTCATATAGCAGGCTGGGTCTGTGAGTGTGCCTTGATCCTTCCTCTTGAATATAGCAATGAATCCATTTGAGTGCTAGGAGTCTGATAAAGAGCATGCTGATGCACTCTTTCTTCTGCCTTCTCTGAGAGCTATATTATGGCCAGAATAATTTCTTGTCTCCTTCCAGACCTCCCTGAGTTGCCTGTCTTTATACTTCCTCCAGACCTGCAAACTTGTCATGGCAACCACATCTGTTGTTGGTAGAGGTGATCACCTTGCACAGTGTCCATCTGAGTTCTAAACAGCAGAAAGGACCAAGTGAACTCCCTGGTGCTTGCCTAGCCCACAGAGTGGCCCAGCTGGCACAGCCTCACCATGTTGTTCAAGGCAGTGAGGGCTACCTTGCCCCCTGCTTCACTCCTGTTTCATCTAAGGTCTGTGGGAGGGTGTTCCTTGCCAGGGTGCATTTGCTGTTCCCCTGCCCTACAAGCCCCCAGCTGCCTTCAGTATACCAGCCACGGCGGCTGCATACTATTAAGCTGGTGGCTAAGTGCTATTTATTTCTTCACCCTTATGTTCTTTCTTGCTCTGTTATCTTGTTACCTTGTGTTTCGCCGCAGAGTTCTCAAGGGTGTTATTCTTAGCTTAGGGGGGCAAAATGCACCCGGGGGGCCGGATGCGGCCTGCCAGGCCATTCTATCTGGCCTGTGGGGCCCCTAAAAAATTTAGAAAATGAATATTTATCTGCTCCAGCTGCCTGCTATGCGGTCCTTGATGGCTTGCCAAAACTCAGTAAATGGCCCTCTGCCTGAAATAATTGCCCAACCCTGCCTTAGCTCCTTGGACTGCTTTGGCACTCAGTGGGTGTGTCTACAGAAGACATTTACTGCAGAGTAGACTAATTAGCTCTGCAGTAAACATTGCATGTCTACATGTGCAATCCTATTAGGCTGCAGAAAACTAATTAAATACAAGCACTATCTTGCTGTGGTGTTTTTTACTCCACAGCATTGCACATGTAGACGTACAATGCAGCTGGATGGAGTATGAGGGTGCTTCAGTGCAGAGGCTGCTTGCCAACTAGCCTCACTGAAACACACTTGTACCCCATGAAGCCCCTTCACAGCATGTTGAGCCAGGTCAGAGCAGCTCCAGGCTAACAGGCTGACCCCCTGGATCCTCTGTCAGCTGGGGCTTCTCCAACCTGGCTCAGTGTGCTACCGTACCAGGTATACATGTAAATGCAGTACCCGTGAGCAATAAACTCTGGTACAGTATGCACCAGAATTTATTGCTGCATGTTAACAGCATGTATAGACATACCCAATGCCCACTATTCTCCATTTGGCATCGACTGCTGGGCATTATTTTGAATCTGTGACTTCTACCCGTGCTTTTTTGTTGTTTATCTCATGAGTTCGGTTGGGCCTTGACTTTGTGGGTCCCTCTCTGTGATCTTTACCTCTGGGTGAACCTTGGCCTATGCTCTCCTTTTTAGCCTTGTCTGTGTTGGTTTCCCAGATCCTCCTCTGGCTTCTTGCATCAGTGTACTATTGCTTCACTACCTAGCAACTTAATTTATCTCTTTGCCTGTCAGTCCCAGTTTTCTCCCTTTACTCTGCCTCCTCATCAGATCCATTTTCCCTTTCACATCAGGTGCTTTCTCCCTTCAACCTACTTCCTTCCTTAGCACCTTATTTTATCTCAGTCTCTTCTTCTGATTACCCAGTAGTTTCCAGTTCCCAGTCCTATGTCCCTCTTTGGCCTTTGGCCCTAGTCTCCTTGTGCAGCCAGTCATAGTCCCGAATCCCAGCACCCCCCCACCCCAATTTTCCCTCATCTCCTTCACTTCCTCAATCCCAGGATCCTTGTTCTGTAATATTGTCCTTCAATCTTTACTGGTTTGGGTTTTTTTCTGTCTGTACTCAAATGAAGCAGCTTCCTTCTCCGTGCTCTATAGCAGGGGCGGGCAATTATTTTGGGCGGAAGGCCGCTTACTGAGTTTTGGCAAGCCATCGAGAGCCGCATGACAGGCAGCCCAGGGCAGATTAATATTAATTTTCTAATTTTTTTAGGGGCCCTGCGGGCCAGATAGAATGGTGGTGGCCCACATCCAGTCTGTGGGCTGCATTTTGCCCACCCCTGCTCTATAGGCCCAGCAGGAGGGTCCATAAGACACACTCCCAGATCTGTCTGGCCTGGGGCTAATCAGATCCAACCCACATCAACCAAGTGCAACAATTGCAGGGGAAGTCCTGTTCCACTCCAGCCTGGAGTGTGCCCAACATGAACAGAATCTTTGGGAATCTGCTTGCTAATAACTTAAATATCTACTGAGCGTGTGCAAACTTATTTTCCAAAACATGGCAACTTGGCCAAATGTGGGAAGACTTTTAACAGAGATGGCAAAAGGCACATCTCCGATGGAGTCTGCATGCCTCAGCCAAAATCAAAGTGTCTGCTGCAAAGCAGAAGGCACTAAAGCGTTCAATAAAGGTCACCAGGATTTGTAAAATAGGGAAGAACCATGTTTTTCCTAGCCTCATCTTTAGGAACAGATGAACAATTCTGGCTGAATATTTTTCAACTTGAAGTAGGCAGTCAGTTTGAATTTAAACCCAGATAATTGACGTATTATAAAATGTACTGCTGAGGGGGAAAAAAGTCCTATAATAGGTGTCATATATCTAATAGTAGATGCTTTTATCCACCTTATACAATTGTACTTATTTCAACTAAATAAATACGTTGGAATACACTTAGATACATTTTAAATAAAATTATAATATGTTTGTGGGGAAAACTTGTTCATGTCATTTTAGTGGATCCACTGATTTTAGTGGATGCATTTAAGAGAGTTTTAAAAAATGTAATTATTCTAATATATTCTCCCAAATTATAAATAAATGTTGTAATCTCTGAAAGCATAATTTTCTGTAGGCTCTTGGATACCTCATGATATTGTAGTCTGGAGTCAAATCCAAGAGCTTGCAAATAAAGAAAAAAATGCCTTTTGAATGATAAAAGGAATACTTTTCAAAACCAACTGCCTAAGAGAGTTCCAGATAGCATGTTCATGTATTCAGTCATCAAATGCTTACCCTGGAGGGTAACACTTGGTTTCTGCAGTTACAAGACAAGAAGAACTCTTGTTTTTTAAATGTACTATGTGGGTTTTGAAGTCTGGTTCTTCAATTAATTAAAATATGTTAGGCTTATAGTATTTGAAACGACTGTAAAATGACTTCAAAACCAGTGTTCCCCTGCAAATAGGGCTTTAAATAAATAGTATTTATTTAACAAAGTTTTGTAGAAGTATAACTTTTATACAGAGCCTAGCAGATGCTCTAGCCCCAGGGAGCAAAAACATCTCGAATAGGCTTGCATTTGAGCGACCAAACTTTCTAACCTTTCTGACCACAAACCAAAATCTTGCCACAGCACAGAGCTGCTTTTTGACACACAACCCTCTGAGCCAGTGATTTGTGCAGAGCATGATTTAGCACCAAAAGCTAAATAAATAAATAATAGAAAATAATAAATGAAAATGGAGGGAGAGGATGTTTTTATTTAACTAAGTGCAAGTCCCAGTATGATTGTGTTAGGGGGGAGCTTGTCTGAGAAAGTTACTTGGTGGTGGTGTCCATTGGCTGGAATTAGAACTAATTAGCCAAGCAAAACCAAACACTGTAGATTGAAGGAATGTTCAGCCTTGCTTTTATTTTTTCAGATAAGGTTCATCCTTATTTACCCTTAGCAATTACTTTAAGAAGAAATCCCTTAATAATACACAGATAATATACAGAAAATGGAGGAAACAGGACAAATACAAAACAGATAAGCTGTATCCAGATGTGTGTAGACGTTTGGTTCCCTGGGGACAAGTAGCAGCAGAGCACTTTGTGCCATAGCTACTTGACCCTGGGGAATGCTCCTGCCACGCGTGCTTTGGCATGCAACATATTATCCTGGGGGCAGTAGGGGAGGCTGGGGGCAGCATTGTGCTGGCCCCAGCAGCCTTATCTGGGGCATCCCGGGGCTGCAGCTGTGGTGATCCTACTGCGCGGAACCTGGCTGACAGCCAGAGTGCAGCTCCAGGCAACCCGGCTCCACTTTTCAGCTGCATGCGCTGCCTGTGCATGCACTGCTTTGTGGGCTTTTTCTGCATTTTTTTTGATAGCCAGGTTTTTTAAAAAATCCATGGGAAAAAAATGGAGCAGCATATGCATGGGCAGCGCCCCATTGCAGCACAGAGAACAGCTGACAGTGTGGCATGTGACACTGCAAACGTGTTTGCAGTACCACATACTGCTTGGCTGCACTCATCTGGATGCGACCACAGGCCGCATACACACGTTCAGGCATGTGTGCTTGCAGCAGCTCAAATAGCAACAGCACAAATTTATGCTGGAGATTTGTGCCTCAGTACACGTGCCTGAACATGCACTTTGGGGCAAATTGTGCCACTTGGAGCAAACTGACCCTGTCGCGCTCCTCCTAGTTCTTCAGCCAGGGGCACCAGATGCTGGGGAACTTGTGCTGGCTCCAGCAGTAAAGAAAGCTGCCCTAGGGAGCAGCTCTGGTGAGCTTCTGAGACTGGGCCAGTTGGTATCTGGGGATGCTAGCCCCTTGTGCCAGCTGGACTGCTGCAGCAGCCCTGACCTAGAGTGGCCCCTGCACCCCCTACCCACTGCAGCAGTCTGGCAGTGGGGCCTGATGCCTGGCTGTGACCTGCTACCACCTAAGACACCATTCGCCCCCTTGGATCTGTAGCGCCATGGCTGTATGCCTGCCAGACCCAGACCCAGATGACATAGCTGCCTGGGCTGTGATATGGGCACTGTAGCATACAGTGACAGCAAAAGCTGGCCTGGTCCTGCCTGAAGGCATGTGCCAGTAGGTCAGGCCAGGTCGGCTCCATGTGGCACAGGTGGCACTGGGTATCTGCCAGTATTGGGCCATGAGCACCCTGATGGCCCGCTGCTGCTGCGGTGGGGGCTGTGTGCCATGCCAGTGGGCAGGCAGGTAGGGGACCCTCCTGAGCAGCCCCCCACACCCAGAGTCCCCCCCACCCACACAGTCCCTG